GCCGCCCGCGCCCCGCCCCATCTGGCCGCTTGCGCGCCCCATCCCCCCTCGATGGGGCCCGCCCACACCGGGGCCTCCCCCCTCCCGCCCACTGCTTTCTCAACGGCCCCGAGCCGGGGCTGCCCTCATTGCATACATAGTGCGCCTTTCCCTGCTTTTCTAGTGACCTAGCGTTCCGCACTGCCGTTTGGCCAGCCCATGCTCCCGTACCGTTGCGTTTCTCCCCAATGCGCCATGCCACTTTGCCAGTCATACACACGTTTCGATGCGTGCCCTGTCAGCTGCTTGCGTTGCATGTCGCCTTGCTCCACCCCTGTTTTATTGCTTTCTCTGCTTTCGCCCGGTTCCCGTCCCGTTTCGGCGGGGAGTCTATGTTGCAAGCTAGTTCTTGCTTTACCAGACTTTAAGCCCACACAAGCAAGCACGCACACACAAATTGGCCCGCCCGCCTGCCTGCTTGCCCTCCCCCTCACGCCGGGTTTGGATGTGGTCTGCCGCAGGCCCGTGCTGGCGCCGTTTTTGAGGTTCGCGAGGAGGTCATCACCAATGCCGCCAACTTCAGGTTCCAGTTTGGCGTGGTAAGCAGGCGGTGTGCGACACTGGGCACAGATGGTGTCTTGGTTCACCTTTTCACCCCTCACAAACGCCAGCGCCACCGCCGCAGAGGGCTTGATCTCCTGAGCTCCTCTTTTTTCTTTATTGGTTGCATCTTTGTTTTTCGCTGCAGGGGACAAACCAGGCACAGAGCTTCCCCGGGGCAGGATCCATCAAGCGCAGCGGGGGTGCCGGCGCCGGCGCCGTCTTCAAGAGCAGCGCCATCCCCCTGGCGCTCTTCACCCTCAACCGCTGCACTGCCGTGGCCGTGCATGTCCACCCCAACTCTGCTGAGACGCTATTCGTGACCCAGGGTCAGTGGCTGCCTGCCTGCTCATCCAGCTTTCAATGCCATGCTTTGGTTACAGGGCACCTGCCTGGCTGAGGTGTTGCTGTGCCTGCGCATCTCTCACCCTTGCTCCCTTGTGTGGCGCAGGCAAGATCCGCATCTACCAGTTCCGTGGTGAGGAGGACCAGGCCAACGTGCGTGTGACTGATATCAGTGCAAACCAGGCTGGCTACATCCAGCAGGGTGAGTTTGTGATGGGGTGTCACCGGGCTGCTGTGCTACTGCCACACGTGCGCACACGTGCGCAGGTCTTGCCCTCACATGGCTGTGTGGAGTTGGTACAGCTCACAGCAGTGGGCGCTCGCTCAGCTACCTGCCTGCCTGCCTGCCTGCAGGGGCCTACCACTTTGTCGAGAACATCTCGAGTGGCACCACCAAGTTCCTGCAGATCTTCGACCACCCCCAGGGCGGCGCAGTCTTTGCTGCTCCCGCCCTGGTGGCCCTGCGCAACGCCGGCGGCAACGCCGCCGCCATCGTCAACTCCGCCTTCAGCTCCAACGTGCTGGGCGCAGGCGTGACGGCCAAGGGCGCCATCATCAACGTGGCTGGGTGCAACTGGTAAATATAAGGGCTTACAAGCAGCATGGACTCCCCTAGTCTGAGGAATCTGCGATCTGAGATCAGTTTCTGGTGGTAGATTATTTGCTCGCACATTTACGCGGCCGAACCCCTTTCTGATACCCCACACGGTACCCCTTCATTTACGCGACTGAACCCCTACGGTACCCCTTCTTGCACCGATCCGCGACCTTCCTCAGCTGTTTTCCCTCTGATAATTTGCATGCGACTGTGTTGGTGGCGCTTGTTTGCGCATCCCCATCTTCACCCATAGGCCCCACGCCTGTTGGAACTCTGCATATAGGGGTTTTATCGTCCCAAGGCCTTTTCATTAACACACCAAAGTCACTAGGGCTGAGATCAGGAGTGTGACCACCGCGGTGCATTCTGGTTCATGGTTCCCCGCTGCATGTCCCCCCCAGGGACATGGCAGTGTTGCAGCATGCACGCGTTGCACTGCGATGCATCAAAACGGCAGGGCCTTCAGTGGGGCGCGCAGAGGAGAAGGAATGCAAATCTGGGCAGAGTCATGGCGCTGGCGGCGGCGCAGGCCGCCGAGGTGGCGGCCCCCCCGCCGAGCTGGCGCGCCCCCAGGCATTTACCTCACATCCATCCCTCCAATGCATTCTCTCGGATGTTCTCAATTTGCCGCCATGGGGAAAGGCCCGCCACTGGCTAGGCAGCCCCCACACCCAGTCGCCCCACAGGAGGCACCGGAGGACCGGGCCCGATGCTGTGGCATCTGTGGAGAAGACATCTCCAGTGCCGACGAGTACATGTCAGGCGAGCCCTGCCTGCAGCCACGATCGGATCACTCTCGCCATGCCGTGCCCACCCAGCCGCTAGCAGAGCCAGCCGTGCTGCCATGCTGAGACCCCCCGCACTCGTCCAGTGCAGCCGCCCGAGTGATGAGCTTTGGCCCTGCTGCGCGCCGCCGCCGCTGCCCGTCTCCCCGTCTCCCCGCGCCGCTGCCACCTGATCGTGTTGCTCGCTCATCGTGTGCCCGCTGTTCCTGCACCACGCCGCCCTTGTGCAGTGGACTGCACCACATGCGGCGACGCCTCTTCGACTCACCACTTAGAGTGCGCCATCGACTGGGTGGTGGAGCACGTGTCAAAGACCACCTCCAATTCTGTCGGCCTGAACAAGTACAAGGTTCTAGCGCGCCAGCGGCCCAAGTAGTGAGTGTGGGAGGGTGGCTTCAGAGGCGGGCTTACTGTGGCTGCAGCAGTGGTGTGGGTGTAAAGTGTGGGCGCTGGCTGGTGGTGGTGGTGGTGGGTGGGTGGGTGGGTGGGGTGGGGGGACCTAGGGCAGGCACTGTCGCACCACCAGCCATCCGGTGCCCCCGGCGCTGCAGCTTCTTCCAGGCCGAGCGGCTGCCGTGCCCCGCCAACAGCCATGCCACGCGCAGCAAGCGAGCAGATGCCTGCCCCTGCCCTGGCGTCACCGTAGGTGGGTGCAGGGGCTGCTGGGTGCGCCCAGCAGTATTGCTAAAAGGCTGCCCTCCCGTCCAGCTGGCGCAGACCTGCAGCGCATTGGTGCTCATTCCTGCCCCACTGGAGCTGCTACCTGGTGCATTATGTGCAGGTGCCGACATTATCAAACCGATCAAGAAGCCAGCGGCACCGCCGCCACAGCCAGCCCGCGCCCCAAAGCAGCCGGCAGCGGCAGCGAACAAGCGCCCCGCCGCGGGAGCAGCGGCAACAAAGGCAGGCACTGCCGTGTCGCGCAAGCACGGCAAGCCCATGGGCAGCAGCCTAGGCAAGGCCAGCCACGCGCCGCTGTGGGCGGGCAGCGCAGGGGTTGCCAGGAAGGCGGCAGGCGAGGGAGCCTCCCATGCTGGGCCGCCCCGCCCCGCCGAGCTGACACTTTGCCACTACGGGGCCGACTGCCGCATCTTCAACTGCGAACGATGCCACAGCGAGGTGAGGGGCAGCCTTGTGCCGAGGCATTGACTCGTGGGCCGCTGCCTGTTGCCCTCCCATGCGTCTTGTGAGCATGCTCTGGTGCATGCCCTTGCATGGCCCAACAACGTGCCCACCTGCCCGCCGCCCTCCTGCTCCCCAACAGGGGGAGGTCCAAGAGCGCGAGAAGGAGTGGGCCGCGGAGAAGGAGGCTAAGAGGAGGGCTGCCCGCCAGCGCGAGCTGGATGAGGCGCGCCAGCAGAAGCGGCGGGCGCAGGAGCGGGCTGCTGTGGCTCAGATGGTGAGAGTGCGGCGCCGGCAGGCCGGCTCCGCACGCATGGGGCTGCCCTTGTGTGCCTGCACATCCGAAGTAGCTTTCGCCCAGCCCGTCCTTTGGAGTCCACCCATCTAACCACTTCCTGGCTTTCCACCCACTCCTCCCATCCTGGCTAGGCTCGTGAGTCAGTGCAGCAGCAGGAGGAACTGTTGGGCCTGTCCCGCCCCGCCCTGGACCTGCTTAAACGACACAAGCGCTCCGCCTGCATTGCAGCCCTTCTCGACATGGGGTTTGACGAAGCAGCCGCCGCCTCCGCAGCCGATGCCACGGGCTGCGACGCGGAACGCGCCGCTGCCATTCTCATGGACGGCGGCTGGGCCGGAGGCGGCGCCACTGCCGCGCCGGTGGATGTGGCCAGAGAGGCGCAGGAACTTGTGAGCTTGGCAGAGGCGCTGCTCCTGCCGTCGCCCACCCTCGCCGTAGATCAGCAGGTGGTGGCGTCTCACGGCGACCCAGAGGCCGCTCGCGGTGAGCTGCAGATGGCGGCCGCGGCGCTGAGCAGCCGGTGGGAGGGTTCGGCCGCTGGCCACGACTCCGCGCCCAGCCTCCCCTCCTCGCAGCCAGACACACCCGTCCCCGCCGCTCCCTTGCCTCCCTGGGCTGCCGATGCCGCGTCTGCCCACTCGGCGCCTTCACCCACCGCAGCTGACAGCGGCCAGTTTGAGGCAGCCGCTGCTGCGGGCGTGCTGTCGCTGGCAGACTTCAGCAGCAGCCTGGACCAGGAACACGGCAGCAGCCCTCACCCGACTGCCTGGCAGCCCCCGGGACAGACGGGCTGGGGCCCAGCCAGCAACAGCCCAATCGGCAACCAGCAGCAGCAGCACCAGGAGCAGGAACAGCCGCTTGGCCGCCGCGCTGCCACTCCCACCGGCCAGGCAGCTCCCCACGTTGTGCCGTTTGGTAGCCCCGTCGCACCGCCCGGCAGCGTGACGCCCCTGCCACCCCACCTGGCCGGCGGCGTGCGCCCCGCCTTTGACGACGGCTTTGCCGCGGGGCTGGCGGCAGCGGTCGCGATGCAGCAGGAGCAGCAGAAGTTTGATGCTGGGTACCAGGCGGGCCTGGCGGCGGCAGCGGCGGCTCTCCAGGGAGGAGTCAGTTTGTCGGGCCCTCCCCCACACCAGCTCCCGCCCACACCCGGGGGGTCCGCACACCCACTCGAGGCCAGCCTTGGCGCCGCTGCCGCAACACAACAACAGCCCTGGCAGCAAGAGCAGGACGGTGGGCAGTACGGCAGCCCATGCCCCCTCCCCCACGTGGGCACCGAGTCGGGGCAGCCCCAGCCTGCTGGAGTTGAGGATGGGCAGGAGGAGGAGGTGGAGGACTTGCTGAAGCTGATGGGCATGGCGTAGATGAGTGAAACATTACCCAGCCAGCTTGGTAAAACTGAATAGTACCTCAACCCTCAGCTGTTCTCTCTGCTTTGCCCTTGGTTAGCTTGCTCTCACACCGGCAACTGTAAATGAGCTGCACCTGGAACAAAGAAACGTAGAAAGACCAACCCAATCTGCAGGACCGCACGTTGGTGCTGAAAAACCAGCAGGTCTCTGGGCTGGAGAACAGAATGATCATCTACTTCACTGCCTGCCTGACTGCCTGACTGTCTTCCTGCGTGCCTGCTGCGTACTGCATTGTCATTCCCTGCGTTCGCAGTGGTTGCTCAAAAGCGGACCACGGCGAGGCGGCTGGCTGCGCCGCTCTCCTGGTCGCCCCTCCATGGCACATCAAACCAGGCCGCTCCACTCTGCTCCTCCCACTCCACCCCCTCCGCAGGCTGCCCATCCAGCAGCACGGTGGCGGGGCGGCACGAGGCGTACAGCAGGAAGCGGCCGCAGCCGCGCAGCTCCAGCCGCAGCGTCGGCGTCGCAGCCGCGCCCTTGTCGCCGCCCTCTGCATGTGCGCCCAAATGATGGGCAGGGCGCGTGTCCAAACCGCCTACAGTGTTGCGCATTCGCAGCTTGTGGCGCTAGGCCACCACTCCTCCCGTCAGCCTACCTGTCAGCTGGGCCTTGAGCACCGCGCCTCCGGCATTCAGCATGTTAATGAGCCCGATGGGCGCCACGCCCATCTGGCTGCCAGCCAGGCACGCCTCCAGCACGGGGCTGACGGTGAGCAGGTCGTGGCCGCCGCCGCCGGGCACGCTCAGCGCCCAGCTGTCGTCCCGTGCCGCCATCACACGCAACTCCTGCAGGCCAGGGCAGACGAATTGGTGGGCACGGCAGGGGGAGCGCGGGCAGAGCGGGCAGGGCAGGGCCCATCCAGCAGCAGCGCCTGGCAGCCCAGACCTGCAGCTTGTCGCTCCATGCCGCGTAGCGGGCTGCCGGGGCCAGGTAGGGCACATCGCCTGGCCTGACGACGGCGGTCAGCGTGGGGGGGCGGGCATCGTGTGTGTGGTAGTTGCGGCGGCGCACCGCCCAGGTGGAGCCCTGCGGTGGGACGGGGAGGGGCCCAGCAGCAGCTCAGCATTCCGTCAGTATCGTCAGCGCATTGGCATGCTCAAGAATGAGTTCGAATTTGGCCATCATCGCTGCCCATCGTCCCCATGCATTGGTGCATCAGAGAGGTCAGCGTGCAGGAAGCTGGCAGATGCAGGCGAGGCATCAACAAGGCAGGCTGCGCTGTCAGAGCACTGTTACGTATTCGTCAAGCCACGCGAGGTGGCATTCAGAAACTCGCGGTGTTTGGCATCATCCATGCGCAGAGCCAGCATTGCAGGGCATGCATGTGGCGCGAGCGCGGCGGCAGCCTGCCAGATCGGCAGCATGTGCCCGATGACAGCAGTGAGCTGAAAGGGTTGCCCCTCTTTGAATTCAGACCCTCGGCAATTTGGGTCGCCATCGCATGCATGTCTGTCTGGCAATCCAGGTATGTGATCAGGTGCTCGCATGCCATCCCCCCCAGCCACCTAACCCCCCACCCACCCACACGTGCCCAGTGACACTGCCCATCACCGAGCACAGTGGGCTCGACCACAGCAGCGCGAGGGACCCTAGCAGCCACCTGCCTGCACGTTGAAGAGGCCCAGCACGCCCGTCACGCTGTTCAGGTTCCACACCTGCGGCCGGGGAGCAGGGGAGGCGAGCTGGTGGGATGCAGTGCAGGGCCCGCGCCTTACCAGCCCCCACCGAGCGCCCAGCCCACCCCCACACACCTTGAGCACCGTCTGCTTGTCGCGGCTGACGTCCCGGAACAGGCAGTCGGTGGTGGGGCGGCCCGGCAGGCGGCAGCGCAGCACGCCGCCGTCGGGCAGCACCAGGCGGCGCAGCAGGGCAAAGTCGTGCTCCCCCACACGATCAGACACGTAGACGAGGCCGCCTGCAGAGCACAGCATGGCCGAACACAACAGATGATATACTCGAGATGGGGCTGGGTGGGCACAGGGGTCAGGGGATGGGCTGGCCCTGAGCGTCCCCTGCGCCATATGCTCACCGCTGACGGCGCGGGCGGCGGCGTGCAGGTGTGAGGAGCCGTGGTCGGAGTGGAACCTGCGGGGCGGCAGCAGGGGGTGCACCGCTCGCAGTAGGCCGCAGGTTTTGGGGGCCGCAGGTTTTGGGGGCCACCTGCGTGCCTCGCCAGCCAGGCAGCTGCTTGCAGACACAGCCGCCTCACATGTCCCAGTCGGGCCAGGCCACGACGCCCATCATGAGCGTGGTGAAGGCGGCGTTGGCGATGTGGGCGGTGTGGGAGGCGGGCAGCGCTGGGTAGAAGTCCTCGCCCACGCGACCGATGTTGCTGTGGCTCATGCTGCACCCAGGGACAAGGGAGATGGGTGCGGGGGTGTGCGGGTAGCGAGGCCGGTGCTCTGGGCAAGCTGCTTGGCTTCCTTCCCCACCTCACTTGTAGATGTCTTCCATGGCGCAGCACATGGAGTTGATCTGGTGGTTGCCGGGCAGGTGGGCGGCCACGCTGGTCTCCAGCGAGCGGTGCCAGCGCGCGCCCATGGCGGCATACCCGCCTGCAGGGACATGGCAGGCCAGCCGCAGCATCGCGCCGGAAGACCTTATCCACGGGCCCAGCCGGCAGTGTGGGGGCACCAGCCAGGCTCACCCTGGTGGTAGCCAAACATGGTGATGGTGCTCTGAACATCCACCTTCACGCCATCCACGCCGCACTCTGCAGCAGGGGCACGCTTGGGGAGGACCATGCTGTGTGTGTGCACAGCGGAGCTCCGAAGCCAGCCGGAGCTCAGCGTCCACGCCCTCACCGTGCAGGTAGGTGTGCAGGTCGTTGTGCAGTGTGCGGGGGTCCTCGGCCAGAGCCACGCCATTCACTGCCGGGTGCACCCACTGCACGGGCATGAGGGGCAGGTGAGCGGGACTTGAGACCCATCCAAGGTCCCCTCCTGATCCCTCGCTGTGGAAAACAATGAGCTGCTTTAAGGGTTGCCCCAGCATGCGAGGGCCCTCGCTCCGCGTCTGCAAACGCCTCCCTCCCACCATCCCCTCTTGCTCCCGCCTTGCCTTCATGGACGGATCGACTTCCAGGGTGCCTGGCGAGGGGCGCGGGTACATGAGCTCAGGCTTGTACTTGGCCACACCCGGAGCCTGCGCAGGGCAGGAGGTGCAAGGGGCCGGTGGCGGGGGGCAAAGGGCAGACGTCATGCGTGCTGGGGTGGACTCGGAATCCCAGCATGCGGCCGTTGATGCTGGCTGTGTACAAAGGAGTGGCAGGGTGCTCCTGCTGAGCGCCTGGCAAGGCAGCCCCTGAGCATAGCTGCTCACCCCGGGCATGCATCCGCTCCAGTATCCCATCATGGCGTGCCAGCAGTACACGTACCGCACCCCGCACCGCCGCTTCAGCTCCCGCACCACCTCCCCAAAGTTGTCGGTGCAGCCCTGCAGGGGGAGGCAGGGCGCAGGGTCTGCCTTGTAGTGCGTGGGCAGACAGCAGACCCCCCAGCGCACCAAAAGTCTCGAGGTCGCCTGCCATTACTGCCACTCTCACGCTGAGCCCCGCCTCATCCCCACAGTCGATGTGGTCAAACTTGGCATTGGCCTTGAGGGAGAGCAGGCGGTAGGAGTGGCTGGAGGCCTGGGCATAGAAGCGCAGGACAGCCTGGCGCAGCGGGCCCACCGCCGCGGCGGCAAAGGCACGGAGGCGGTACGAATCTGCGGTTGTACAGGCGGGGGGTGGGGCACTGGGCTGCGGGTGGGCACCCTCCCCATCTCTTCCGCCCTCACATGTGATGGGCAGGCAGCCGATCCTCTTCAATCAAGCTCGGCGGGCTGCTTAGGTGCCAGCGCGTCTCCCAAGAAACAACCCTGATCGGCCCAACTGTCGCCTGCCTGCCAGAGGATGTGTCCTCCAGCCTCGCCTTGAGCCACCTTGCCGCTGCCAGCTCCGCGCGGCGCTGCAGGCGCATCAGCAGCCCGTAGGTGCGCAGGGCCGCGCTGTTCATTGCTTGCAGGCCGCTGCAGGCGGGGAGGGGAGGGGAGGGGAGGGGAGGGGTGGGTGTGGCAGAAAGGTGGGCGGCCTGGTGCCGCTCAGGCAGGGACCTGCAGTCTGGGAACACGTGTTGCCCGCTGATGTGGCACCTCCCCCGATTCGTCTGGCTCATCAGGCACGCTCTCTCCCGCGATCCCTCCCTTTCCTTCGCCTTTCAGAGTCTCTAAGGCTTCTATTTCTCCCCTCCCGCACCCCGCAGCTGCCGCAAATTTAAAATTATGAACCAACCTGTCATCCTTTATGCCTTAGAACGGCGCCAAAACGGCGCCAAGAATGTGTTTCTCACTAAGTCAGATGTAGAGGGCATCATCCGGATCAAGCAGGGCGACCAGCAGGCGCCCTCAGGCCGGCGGCGGCGGGGTGCGGGAGGGGGGGCGGCAGTGCAGGGCGGCACCAAGAACTACAGCAAGAAGGTGCTGCAGTTCTTCCAGGTGCTGAAGGGCGCTGGCGGTCAGGACATCCTGTGCCGCTGCGTCAAGCGCAGCGGAGAGTGGCGGTGGTGCCCCGTGGTGCCGCTCGAGGAGCTGCCCCGAGTGATCAAGGAGCACCACGAGCGGGCGACTGGCTTCAGCGGGTGTGGAGAAGCT